TCTGCATTCTACAAAATTTTATAACCAGTATTTTACTGTTGAAGCTGTACGCTTGTGGAATGCATTGCCCATAAAAATCAGGCAAGCGCAAATAATAAACAGTTTTAAGAAAATGCTTCAACTTTTTTTTGTATCGTAATTAAGATTCAATTAAGACTCGTGTTAGGGTATGATGTGAATGTTTTTTTTATATGATATATACTTAAGTAGTTATGTATGTATGTATATTTGCTCGTTTGCGTAAGTATTTGTTTATATGTATATAAATATGTATGTTTGTGCATGTATGTATATATTTATTATATTTATATCTAGTTATTATCTCTTTTATATTCGTTAGTCGTTACTGTCTCTAACTATTGAAGAGTCCTGAAGACCCCCGTTACTGAACATTTTGGTCCTGGCCGAGTCACGAGAAGCACGTCGAAATAGGGAATCGCTCGTCTTCTCATCGCATCGTGAACTGGACTACAGCATTTATCAGCTCAACGGTCAGGTCTTTAAACCCATCTACTCCTTAAATATCCGAATTTGTTTAAATACGTGTTATTGTCCTTTATAGACTCGTTGTGCTGTGATTACCGCTCAGGTGAAAACCTTGTTTAAAGTAAAAAGTACTTGTTTTTTCTTGTAAGCCTTATAATGGGTGGTAAGAATAAATTAGTAGTACCTCCGAATGCTCCACAATGCTCAATTTCTTCCACTAAAAAAGTTTTAGGTAACCTTACTTACCTTAAAAAGCTGCGAGTAACATAAAGTGTAGATTTACCAAATTTAAAAATATATTCCAGGCAGGCATTTCAAAGTTAATCCATCTCAAATTCAAATTAAAGTAAATTAAATTTCGGGCTAGAAACAACCTTTTTAAAACTTTCAATGACATAGAGGGTCAAATAATTTATCTGTAAAGAGATATAAGTTTATTCAAATTTTGGATACGTAGAAACTTTCTTCACATATTGGATACGTAGAAACTCTTGAAAAAATATATATTACTTCAACGCATTAGCTTTTGCCGAAAGTCTGATTGAGGATAGAGGGACTAGTGAAAATTCTTGTAACTTAAAATGAAATTGGTACGGTCATTCGTCTCGTGCCAATATCAGGTTGCCGGCGATAAAACAACCCACTTTGGATCTTACAAGCACTGGCTTCAGTAAAAAAAAACGTATACCACTGTGATCCACAAGCGTACAGACTTAGATGCGATTCAGAAATGCGATTCAGGAATTCCATTATTTAAGATCTTGAGTAAGTGGCGCTGCTTTGCTTGTTATTAGTGCATTGGAATTCACGGTCACTAATTATTTACATGCGTGGGAACTGCTAGAAAGTAGATTTCATAATACTAAAGTTTTGGTAAATAATCATTTAAAATCTTCATTTTCTATAGCGACTTTAAAACAGGAATCGGCAATGCAAATTAGGAAGTTAATTGACACTATCTTACGAAACATTCCTGCTCTTAAAACGTTAGATGAACCTACTGAGTCGTAGGATACCTTAATTATTTATTTAATTGGAACAAAACTCGACTCTAATACGGAACGCGACTGGGAAAGACATAAAGGCACAATTATCACTGATTCCTCTCAAAAGTTGAAGTTGTAGGATTTGCTTACGTTTCTTAGAAATAAAAAGGATATGTTGGAAATGATAAGTAAGATAACACAAAAAAAACCGGTTGTCATCGAGACAAAATCTATTTATAAAAATAACGCATCGGTTTATAGTTATGAATCTACATCATCATCTACCGGTTCTAAAAGCAAATCATCTAATATTAACAACAGCAAACGTAATCTAACTAATTGTCCTTCGTGTAATGATAATAGGAAAGAATTCTATTCGTTGATAATAAATATGTCGCAATTGTTTAGGACATCTACTTGCGGATTGTGGTTTTAGTCCGTGCAAACTATGTGAACGTAAACACAATTCATTACTTCATTTAACCGGTACCGTCTACCGGTACTGTTATACGTCTCTAGGCAGCGGGAGCACAGCTGATCACAGTTTGTCTCAAACTACGACGTCAGCGGTGCTGTATTATTTATCTATTGATAATAATACGAAAAGGTATCGGTATAAACAATCGGTATTGCTATGCACGGCATTAGTGGAATTAGTTGACGAACATAATAAGCGAGTTCACAGCCCGAGCGCGGTTGGACAATAGAAATCAACACAGTTTTTTTTTTATGTATGCGTCGACAATACAGTACACTCTATAAATTTTCGGTATTGCGCAATCCGAGACACAAACGAGTCACTCGTATAATGCGTTCTAAACTATGCGATTACACTACCAAGGTTCAATGTTTTATCTTAGAGCGTATCATGAACAGTCTACCTTCAACAAACATTGATACCAAATTTTTACGTATACCGCGTTATGTTCAATTTGCTGATCCTACCTAGTACAATCCTTCCGAAATTGACTTATTAATGGATGCGGCCCTGTTTTGGACTGTGATAGGATTCGCTTAGTCAATGGACCTTATCTTCAGCTATCAAAGCTAGGTTGGTTGATTTCTGGTCTTATTAACACAGACAATGTACTCAAAGTTTAAGTAACCAGATGGAACGATTGTGGGAGTTTACCAAAGTCAAATTTACCAACTTACCACATAATTTACCACAATCAGGTAATATCCTCAACAAAGATGAACAATTGTGTGAAGAGATATTTCTTACCACCATAAAGCGTTAGACTTTAGGCGATTGTATGCCGGTTGATATGTTCGTCGACGAGCATACTCAAAAAAAAACCATTGGTGTAGGTTGCCATAACGATACTAATGAGTTTAAGTTCCAGGCGGTTAGCGGCAGTAGGCCCCCGCCCGAAGAGATACGCGAGTGGCGTGAGGCCGCTCGTCGAGCCACAATGGCTCGTTGGTCGTCCCGGCTGGAGGCTCCACGTGCTGACTTTGCCGCCGTGGAGGCGCTCCAGCCGGTCATCGTCGAGTGGCAGGGCGGCAGCACGGGACCCTTTCCTTCCAGCTGACGCAGGTCCTTTCCGGACACGGCTGCTTTGGGAAGTACCTGCACTGGGTCGCTAGGAGGGAATTGAGTCCCGCCTGTCACCACTGCGATTGCAGTGAGGACTCGGCTCAGCACACGCTGGCAATTTGCACGGCTTGGGCGCTGGGTCCTCATTGCAGTCATCGGGGGAATCTCTCGCTACCGGCCGTCATACGCTCCATGGCCGGTAGTGACAGATGTTTCACCGCGGTCGCATCCTTCTGCGAAGACGTCATCTTGCAGAAGGAGGCGGCGGAGAGGGCCCGGGAGAACAACCTCCACTCGGACCTTATCCGTCGCCGGCGAACCGGACGGCGGAGGCGCGCTTATCACCGCCTCATGCCGCCCTGAGTGTGGCCGCGGGTGGACGGGACGGGTTTTCCCCTCCACCCCGCCATAACGGCCAGCCGCGAGGAGGCTACGTCCGCGTGTGCCGGACGTCGCCTAAATAGAGAATGTACACGAAGGTGGTGCCCGCACCGTTGCGGGCAGGCGCTAGGCTCTATTACAAGTGCAGAGTGGCACACCGTGTGGTTTTAGTCGGTCCGATTCCGACACACCACCCCGCCGCAAACCCCGGTGGCGTGACGGCCCGAGGGGGTTTCCACACGTAAAAAAAAAAAAGTATACCAATGAGTTGTACTATGTTACTAAATTTGACGAGTATTTTACTGTAGCTAAAAAAAGCGTCTGATGTTATCTACTGTTTCTCAGATAAATGACCCTTTGGGTCTACTCTCCCCTATAGTTATAGTTGCAAAAATATTGTTACAAATGTAATACAAATATTTTTGTGGCCTAGCAAGCTTGACTGGGATACGCCTGTGTCATACGACATTGCATCAAGATGGACTCATTTCGTCAATACGTTATAATGTTTACATCATTTAAAAATTTCACGTTCTGCATTCAGTGAACACGCGAAGTGTAAGGAGCTCTTCACGTCTTTACCAATGCCTCTTAAAGTGCATACGGAGCATGTGCTTACATACGTACTAATAACGATGATTCAGAAATCACCGTTAAACTTCTGTGTGCCAAAACCAAGGTTGCACCTTTGAAGGCCATTAGTATTCCTCGCCTCGAACTTTGCAGCGTGCTCTCACCAGCGCTAGACTTTATAAAAGAATAGTCGACTCATTATGATTAACTTTCACCCAGGTTTACTTTTGGACTGATTCGACTGTCTGGCTGAGTGACTGGCTGGGTTCAAAAGTCGGCACATCCATTAAAAACGTCTGTTCAAAACTGGGTTCAAATTAATGAACTTCCAGAACACTCAAAGTGGCTGAATATAGCTAGTAAGGACAATCTAGCTAATTTACTGTCCAGCGGAATGAGCCTGGACCTGTAAGTTGATAATAATTTATGGTAGAATGGACCTTCTTACTTACAAAATTATCATGATTCATTTTTGTCATATAATACGCGTAATTCATGAAATACATACAAATACTCTTAATCAATCAAATCAATTAATAACTCATTAACTTTCGTCTGCATGTCTCAAAATACAATAAAATTCTATACATATTCCTCATTCAACGAAATTAAACGTGCCGGTGCTTATGCGTACCGATTTGATAAACTTATAATTCGTAAAATAGTCCCTGAATGTTTTGTGTGTACTTGAGTTAAGGGTAAGACTTTGAATTCAATAATGGGTAATTTAACAGCTGAGCGCTTGGATTCTGGATTTCCATTCAAATGAACTGGCGTGGACTATACTGGGCCAGTCTTCGTATTAAATAATAAAAGAGAGGGGTGCTCGTTTAACTAAGGCGTATATATGTTTGTTTATTTGTTGACTTACATGAGAAGTTCATTAAGAGCCTGTCAATAGTCTACACCGACGATTACTTCATAAGAATAAAAGCTATATATGTAACTAACTGTCTTGTGAATGATAATGTGATTATGATGCCAACGGACGTGATGTAACTAGAAATTAATGCGCTATTGGCAATTTTACATACCTGTCAACTGTAATAGCAACTAATGTGAATACGCCCGCTGAAACAGTGAGGTTGGCCGTGAAGTTACTCGCTGTGCAAGTGATGGCGCCGAAGGGCCAGTCTGCTGTGACCAGGAATATGAAGTTTGGTGCACCGTTCAACGTCGCCATTAGTAAATCTGCCATTGCGAGATTAACCAGGAAGCAGTTGGTGACAGTCCGCATTCGACGATGTGCTGTTAAAAAAAGAAATTAGCTATTAAACTTATTAAATTATGGCTTTCATTCGGCCTACACAATTTGAGCTATTAAGCTCTTAATTAAATCATCAATACATATGTACATAGACTTAATTTATAATAAATTTGTAGAGTTTAAATGTATTTATATTTGAATATACTATTCCCTCAAACAGAATCTTACTTGAAAATAGCTGAGAGCAATTAACAGTTGATCGAGAATAACTTACAGTATGAAGACAGCGAGAGAGAACTACAAAAGAACCCATCAGAATGAGGCAAGTATTTTTTAATGGAGGGACATATTAAGGAACTTAAATAAACATAATCAAAAGTTCACAAGCAATTCCCAGGCCAAGCTTAATATTTGATAAGAAATACATAAGAGTCTGTATTTGTCAATCACTTAGATGAAAACTGAGACTACTAACATCATCATTATCATCATCTTTGCTTAATAATGTACAACATTGAGTGATTTGTATGTGTTTAAAAGTACATGACTATTCTATCAGTCTATCTAACTTTCATAGTACAAGTTCTATCTACTTTGAAAAAAAATTGTGTTGTGTGTCATATGTCCGAAAAAATATAATTTCAGATTCGATTTCTTCCGAAAATTAAGAGCAATCACTTTACTCGCATTCGTTTAACTGTATGGAACAGATACAAATTATTATGCTAAAACTGATATACGACGAGGTTTCATTACATAATAAACAACAGGGGGTGACGTTGGGAGTCTATTTAATAATACTCAGTCGAATGTGAATGCAAGACTGGCTATATTTCCAATGAATACATAATTTTATAGTTCCTCTTATACAATATCTTACATCTACTACATCATAAGGGTATTTTAACGCTGAAGACGCGATATGGTTATTAATAGACAATCGGGTATTTCCAGAAAAGCAGTCATAGTGAGAGTTTTCACTTCACTCACGTAAAAAGTATTTGAAAAACATTTTTAAAAACAACCTTTTATTTAAATTATATAAACATAAGAAAATAAACCTTCCGTTTTAAAACCCCTTTTAGTTTTTCATTAAGTATACTTTTCTTATGTAAAATTACCTGTTTGAACCAAATTTTCACAAACAAAAAATTGATTAATTGAAGTTTGAGCTTATCATGTTAACACAAAGAAAATAATGTATCTGCGAATGTGCTATCAAAACTTACGTGCGTATAAAGTAATAATTTATATCTAATGTAAATCTTATTCAACAAAGAGTTCAATCAACCTGACATACCAACGTTACGTTAACTAATACATTTTGAAACTGGTAGTACATTTAAAATACAATTCTAAATTAATAAATTATAACCTGAGGAAATTGTAAGTCCTCAGACATACACAAAACACAGATTTTATATTATTATGTGTTGTGTACCGTAAATTTGCTTATTACGACTATGAAATATAAAAATGTTTTGTTTGTATTAGCTACAGGACAAGTTTTGCTCAGCTTTGAAAAAAAAATACACGCAGAACTCGTTCACTTACTGATGGAACTGGGTGCCGAAACTAGTGACTGTAAAAAATCTTGCTAAGACTGTAGTAACCAGAGTTATTAGTTGAAAATAACATTGTAAACAATTCAATATACAGTTAGACTTTTGTCTGCGTTTAAGAAATAAAAATATTTTAGAAATGTGTCATCATTTCGACCTTAGAGTATATACAGCACGTTCGTCGTACATAAAGGGCCGAAAGAGAAAGGTCGGTCAATCCTGATGGTTTTGTGATGTTCCCTGCGAAACAAAACCTACTAAAGTCACGTAGCACAGAGGACATATTCGTGCGTTTTATGAGAAGCAGGTTCAAAATATTTGCTCTTAAAGATTTAAATGCTAACAGTGCGTATAAATATATGTATTTTATTCAATTTTTACATCCACACGCATGTAGATGTAAAATTGAATAAAAAACTAATTTGCATAGTAATTAAAATATACTGTTTTACTTAAGAGGTGAGAACCCATAATTTTTGTAATTAAATCTTATAGTATAAGATTCAATAATAAGATTAGTATAAGATACCCAAGTACAACATAATTTTAATATACAGCTTCCATTTCTATTACATTTTCTAGAACTTGGGAGCGGAGTATGCGAATAACAGAATTAAACAGACGTTATGACGGAACTTCACTCTGATCTGATCACGACCAGTTTTCTGTATACTAATTCTTACTTGCCTGGCCTGAACTAATTTAATCAATAGTTATTAACATCAAAATGTTTTGTTATCTTAATAACAAAACATAGATTCGATGTTTCACTGAAATATGTTAATGAAACACTAAATGTGACCCTATTTTATATGGAGCATGACACATGATACATTTATATGGAGCACATGTACATTTATTATATATTTAGGAAATAGAGCTGTCAATTTGAGTTTCTTGTTTTCACTTACAGACTCCCGATAATGCATGAAAACATTTTGAACTGAACAATCACTGAACTGTCATGAAATTATGATTTATATTGTCTTTAATTTATCATTCTTACCATTAACTTTAATTTAAAACAATGTCATGACTAAGGTGGAAATCATTTAAGGCGGATATGATTAGTAGTGGACCTTCTATTTTGCCACAGCTCCTGCTAATAAAAATGATTTTGCAATTCAAATCGTCAAACTAATTCTATGTCTAGAAGAACTCAATTATTAAAAAAAAATGGTTGAATGGGAAACTTATTAAGTGTTTATTGTATGTATTTATTACATACTAAAAGCTCGGTCATCGCAGTAAAAAGTAGGCTATGTCATTGATGAAATAAAATGTTAAAATCGGATTAGTGGTTTGGACGTGAAAGCAGCAACAAACAAACAAACAAACTCACTTTTATAATATTAGTAAGGATAATTACTGTTGATAGGTCAGCCGTAAATAATATGCAGTGGACTGTATAACAACTGGTATATTGTGGCTAACAAAATAAATACACAAAATTTCGGAACGACAATAGAAATCTGCACTGGTGTGCCATGTAACGTGTTCGGTAGCGTAGTGCCGACGCATTGGCGAGGGCCGATCTCCCACGCACCCGACGGCCAGCTGCCGATGCGTGTCGAAGATGCCCGAACAATTACAGTATTGTCTAGTACTATCAGTGACAAATATTAAAAACGACTTTTAATTTATTTCGAATTTTTAACTAATTCGAAATATCAAATTACCTGTTACTATTGACGAGTAAATGAAGAATAAACAGTTCCAAAATGAAATTAATCACATTATTAAAACATTAATAAATACTACAAAAATATTTTAGTTCTTGCTATTGTTTTTAGATTGAGAAGTTTATAAACTATGTTTATAAAAAATAGTAAACCGGTTTGGGTAAATTATTTGGATATACTAATAACACTTGACCAATTCTGTCACTCGGTTTGCGCGCATTCGTTTGCACTGTGGATTTTCTTTTCTGTTTCGACCTACGCTATCCAAAATAAACTCCGATTATTCTTCAAACGATGATTATAGGTTAGTCTTTGACCTCAGTACCCGCTTCAAATTTTTATTCTTGCGCATCTTTCGTTATTATATACACTGTGTTTTATTTTATTATTTGTCGGAGACTACACCAATACGTGCGTGCGACAACAGGGGGGGAGGGTCGATAGTGGACCTTTCGTTCGCTGTCGCTGCCCTCGCCGCACGAGTAAGGAACTCGTGTTCGTGAAGACGTTGAGGCGCTCTCGGATCACCTTTATATCCGATTTGAACTCTCCCGGACCCAAGACCCAAGACGTTTTCCGCGGTGGGCTGTTACGAAACTAAACAGGGACCTACTGGAGGAGGCAGCCATTATTCACACTTGGCTGTCTCCGCAGGCTCCGACTGAGGAGGTCGATATGGGGGCTGGTCACTTTCGTAATGCGATTACGCAGATTTGCGATGCGGCCATGCCCAGCATCTGAGGTCGTCAACCTCCAAGGAAGGAGGTCTACTAGTGATCCCAGGAGATGGCGGACCTTCGCGCGGCCTGTCCTACACCTACCGCGCGGTACGACAAAAGCTCCGTGGTTGAGGGCCTATTCACGCAACGGGCGGAGTACACACCCCAGCCGATGGCCTCTTTGGCTGGAGACGGCGGGGAGAACGTGGATGATGTTCCACCCGTCCGGGATTCGCAATTAGGCGCGGCTGTTCTATGGATTCGTTTCAAGAAGACCGCCCCTGGGCCCGACGGGATACCGGCTCGAATGCCGGTTTAGGCCCTCGACCACATGGCAGGGAGGTGTTCGAACGCGGGAAGCTCCTGTTGAGAAAGCCGGAATGGCCCGCCGGTTCGGTCGCGGCCTACAGGCCCATTGTGACCTCGCACCGGTTCAGGCCCAGATGAAGTATCTGATTCTTGACGGGAGGTGGCTCTTCGACGAGCACTTCCGACAGCTTGCTCCAAAGCTATTCCAGCTCCAAAGCTGGCAAACATCGAGGCGGCCCAATGGATACGAATGAATGAATACAATTATGAGTAAAACCAGGGACGTTACAATATCTCGAATAAAAACATTACATTTTATAACTGGTTTTTGACACATCATTGTTTTTAAAAAAATGTATCCGCGTAATGTACCGCAGACGATAATTTATGAAAGTATAAATTGAAATAGTATAAAAAATAATAATTAAGGATCGTTTTTGTTTATTTCGATGATTACATAATTTGAATTACATAATGCAGTAAAATGTTTCATAAAGCTATCAATAGAACAACATTTGTGACGAACAAATATAAGTATGATATACAAAATGTAGGTGATTTTATCCGGAAAACGATTCCGAAAGAAGACACTTTAATTTGATAAATTGTTATTGGCATTAAGCATATTTCCATAACATACTCATAATTGAATTTAAACCTCCCATTAGTGAATTGTTGACAAGTACTTACATAGATTTAATAATAGGTCTTTACCTGTACCTTTACCTGTTGGAGACATTTGAAACCAGCATTTTCAGATTTAATTATC